TTAGTTTATAGTTAACTATGTAGTTTTTTGCTGAATCGTGCACAGTAATTTATTTTTAGAAGTAATACATAAAAATAATCCTGCCTGGCATCTCGTCCTGGCAAAGCAGGATCATATAAACAGCCCCTTATTCCGCGAATTCTGCATGTTGCCTTGGATCCCTTGGGGGTGAGGCAGCACTTTCCTTGCGATAGTAACTGCGATAGATATGCAATTATAAACTAACAAGTTTGTTAGCATGGCCTCTAAACTGGAAAGCAGTAATTATCAGCAGTTTTCTCACGTACGTATAGAAAAGTTTAATTAAATATTTTTAAATTTTACATAAATACATCAACAAATAAACTTCAATTCATGCACAAAACTGACAAGATGCTGCGCTTTTATTCATTCATTCTTTCCCTGGAAAGCAGCTTTGCATTTCATTTCCGGCAGCCGGAAGTGATTGGACTCGGACCACAGCCGGTCCTTGAATGTATACCATATTATATCAGCATAAATATTAAAATATCGTTAAAACATGTTTACTTATCTCTACCAAGTCTACTTCAAGGTGTATTTGCCATTTTGCTGTGGTATCGATCAGATTTCAAACTGTCTGTGACATTCAAAATAGTTTTATTAACCACCATGTTGCTTTGTCTAATTAACAGTAAATGGCCATATTCAAATCCAACACTATCCGTGCAAATATTCGACAAAAAAATGCAGTTAATTGTCGCTAATGTTTCACTTTCGAGTTCGCTGTGTTCATATGTTCATCCTTGTGACATTTACCGTCATTCAGGATATTATTCACCACGTAGTGCCGAGTTAAAATCTCTCTCACTTATTAAGAGAGGGTAGGAGACTGCCGCTCGCAAACGACACACATCCCCGACACTTTATTTGATCCCAAGGATAGTTTCCGCGAGACTGTTTCATTATTTGTTGTGTCTGCTCTACTTCTAAAATGCGAATGCCAAAATAGCCGCTACTAGCTACCGTGAAAAATGTCAACCTCAGCCCTGTATTGAGATCAACCAACAACGAGCAGCCACTACTGAAAATATGTAAAAGTAAGTTTAATTTAATCCTTAACTCACCGTTCAGAACGTGCGGATTGATCTATTCTACATAGAAAACATTCGCTTTACACAGCGTGTAGACTATTATTATTGCCTTGGACATAAAATAACTTCAAGGTTCTCTTTATTTCTCGGTTTTCTGGTTGTTTAGTGAATTGATTCGAGGACGCACTTCCGTACTGCCAAATATCTCGACGGGAAACCGATTGTCTGAGAATTTATCCTTCTAAACAGGAATTTTATATCCACCATACATTTACATCTTAGAGTGCCCAACATAGCCAAAGGCATACCGGAGGGAAAAAATTATGGAGCCAGACATAAATATGCCCATGCAGACGTTGATGCAAATTGCCCGCAAATACAAAATTTTGGCGTATAATTTCAGGATCGCCAATATCCACTAAGGGACTGCTCAATATTTATTGTACAGGGGGAGACTTAGGAGAAACTCTACAGTTATAATATTTTTTTTCTTTGCCCCCTCTTAAGATA